CGCCTCATACGAAGATGGCTACTGTCAAGTCGCCCTAAAAACTGCGAGTTTGTAGAACGGAAGGTGGACGAAAAGGGCCATGTCACCAAATCCCCAAAGCACAGAGAGGTTTCACTCTGTATATACAACTTACGACGATGTACACATTTTTGAGAGTCGGTAACCACGCAAATTTTAGAAAGGGAACAACTGTCTGCGCCATCTGAAGAGCACGAAAGTTGAGTGCGTTTGGCACATTGTTTTTAATGGTGGTCATGCAGGCATCGATCGTGATAGTTTGTTGTTATTTTTGTGTTATTTAATGCATCTTTGCATTTCTTTATATCGTATTTGTGTTTTGTATGCAGCATTTTATATTTGTCTGAGTTTCAATCTTTGTTTTTGAAATTGACTTGATTTAACCTTAATGCAGACTCGCATATTTGATACCGTTATCCTATTGTTTGTGATCGTTTTATTTTTTTGGTGTAATGCTTGCTTAATTTATGTTTGTTGATGTTGATTACCTGGGCTTGTCCCTGAAGTAACATAAATATACCTACATTTTGATTTTTCTTTAAATATGTGGAGATTATCGATTCGTTTGATGTATGTACTGACTTAAACATTTTCTCCGTGAATGAAGCAGTCACGGGGTTGGTTGGAGCTGCGACACATAATTCGAAACTGTCTTCGACATTCAACTGTAGGCTCGCGATACCCTGAAACCAGGGGCGAGTTGTCTATCTTGGGGGCAAGATTATGCTAATCAAAACTCTTCGGTTTAGAATCTATGTGTGATATATGCGTTGCGATTCGGTAGTTTCCACATATTTTTGCCGATAGTTGAATTTGCCTACATGTAATTTTTCATCTTGCTTTTAACAAAATAACTTTATTGCAGAGAGAGACACCTTTTGGCTTTGCATACATTAATGTACGTCAACTAAACTTCCCGGCTTTCACAATCTTAATAATGACGATTATTAAACCCACTTTTCACAGTTTCAGTTGTTTTATTTTAAATTTAAGCGGGATCTTGTTTATTTTTGGAGGGAATAGTCGTTCGGGTGGCCAGTTTTAAACGTTGCCGGGTTAACTTTATTTCCGTGTTCTTGTAGTGTGAAGTTAGCGTAGAACTTGGAGGTTAAGTACATTACAGTGTTTTTGAACACATCGTTATATCTAGAAACGCTACGGCCCCCCCCCTCTCTTTCCCTCACTAGCCAGCACACGAAGCTCTAAAGAGCAGCCTCCGTAGTCTTAATTTATAAGTTCGTGCTCGGTAGCCATACCAACCTTGTAAACAGCCCCATCTTCTAAAAATCGCGCGGTTGCCAGTTCTCAAAAATGTTCGCATCGTCGTAGGTTGTATATACAGGGTATTCCACATTTAAAACTATTGAGGTACTCCAGAACGACCAAAAATATAATCAGAACTACCAAAAATCTATCGTATTATTATTATTATTTAACATCCTTTTAGACTCTTTAAGATGCTTCAAATGCCCTTTAAGAATCGCCAGTGTCCTTTATAAGCTTTTCAAAGTCTCTCAAAGAGTTAGAGCTGTTGAATACCTTCAAGTGTTCCAAAGACTTTCCTATCGTGAGGTACGCGTCTGCTTGAACCGTATGCTGTCAGAATCTGTGTCTCGAATTTTGTGTTTTGCATTCAGAGATTGTTAGCTATGAGTTTTTTTGTCTTAAGTGACCAGTCTTGAGCGCAAAGCCTAAATTTTGAGTTCTGCTGGAGTCTGAAGGTTTTTTTAAAATATTTTTTATGATGTGACGTTTAACGGGCTGACGGTCACAGAGAATGAACATGCACAATAAACCCATACCTGAGTTGTATTCTAATTGGAAATACGAAGCCTTGACGGAATTCTCACGTAAGTGATAACTGATAAACAATAGGATATAATTGCGGAAGAACAAGGAAGACACGTTTTTACGCAGACTAAAAATAGAAGATGTGCGGATAATTGTACTTACCTGAGGTGAGAGCAATATAATATAATTATATTAATTGCGCCTTTGTTCAAGAACACGATCAAGACCAAAATGGTTACCTGGTGCCCAACGTGAAGGTGACATAGTAATTTTCTCCTTGGTGGTAGTTGACTTAGTGTTTTGAGGGGCCAAACGCATAGGTATCTCTTTCGCAGAAATGCTGACGGCGATTCAGAAGTTTTACGCCAATTCAACCATTTTGGTCACCGGCGCAACGGGATATCTAGGCACCTACTTCGTCGAGAAGTTGCTCAGATCGTGCCCCGACGTTAAGAAGGTCTACCTGCTGGTTCGAAAAAAACGCGGCAGGCCGAACGAGGATCGACTCGTCGAGTTTTTCGAAAGTCCGGTAATTTTACAAAGTTTGGTTAGGTACCTACGCCCTAACCTCGAGCGTCTAGGTTTACAACGCTCTGAAGCGGAGCAATCCTCGAGCTTTCCAAACGGTGGAAGTTCTGTCCGGCGATCTGGAGTTGGAGGAGTTGGGTTTGGGCGATGGCGATCAGGAAAAGGTGGCAAACGAGGTGAACAGCGTGTTCCACGTCGGCGCCACCATAAACATGGCGGAAACTCTTCGAATGTCAACCTTGGTAAATATCAGAGGAACTAGAGACCTTTTAAGCATTTGTGCCAGAGCGCAGCACCTGAAGGTTGTGTCGCTGATGGCGATTCGTCACTGAATATGAACTGTTACAGTCGTTTGTCTATGTCTCCACTGCCTACTCCCAGTTACAACTGCATGAAATTGATGAAATCATCCCCCCAAGCGCCGAAGATGCCGATAACTTGATAGCGATAGCAAGCTCTAGGGACCAACGACAATTACACAATGCTACGCTCAGGTAAACTGTTCTAGTAGATATACTAGATACCGAACCTGGCTCAGGTCAAGGTCACTCGCCCCCAGGTTAAGGTGACTTTGGAAATTAGGTCAAGATAAAGCTTAAAGGGCAAGCGTAGTGATTGTATATTTCATTTTTGGGGTGTCAAATTACATTTAAATGTTATACGAGGTCGTTGACCTCATAAATTGCAAGGTCATCAGAGGTCATTGGCCCCTTTTTTGTAGTATATTACATTCAATGTCATCGGTGGTAATAAAATTTCAAAGTCATCCGAGGACATTGACGCCCATTTTTTGGGGTGTCAAAAATATCAGCAGAGATCATTGACCCCATAAATTGCAAGGTCATCCGAGGTCATTGAGCTCATTTTTGTAGTATATTACATTCAATGTCATCGGTGGTCATAAAATTTCAAAGTCATCCGAGGATATTGACCCCCATTTTTTGGGGTGTCAAAAATATCAGCAGAGATCATTGACCCCATAAATTGCAAGGTCATCCGTGGTCATTGAGCCCATTTTGTAGTATATTACATTCAATGTCATCGGTGGTCATAAAATTTCAGTCATCCGAGGATATTGACCCCCATTTTTTGGGGTGTCAAAAATATCAGCAGAGATCATTGACCCCATAAATTGCAAGGTCATCCGAGGTCATTGAGCTCATTTTTGTAGTATATTACATTCAATGTCATCGGTGGTCATAAAATTTCAAAGTCATCCGAGGATATTGACCCCCATTTTTTGGGGTGTCAAAAATATCAGCAGAGATCATTGACCCCATAAATTGCAAGGTCATCCGTGGTCATTGAGCCCATTTTGTAGTATATTACATTCAATGTCATCGGTGGTCATAAAATTTCAGTCATCCGAGGATATTGACCCCCATTTTTTGGGGTGTCAAAAATATCAGCAGAGATCATTGACCCCATAAATTGCAAGGTCATCCGAGGTCATTGAGCCCATTTTGTAGTATATTACATTCAATGTCATCGGTGGTAATAAAATTTCAGTCATCCGAGGATATTGACCCCCATTTTTTGGGGTGTCAAAAATATCAGCAGAGATCATTGACCCCATAAATTTCAAGGTCATCCGAGGACATTGTCTAGATTTAAACATATTTTGCAGAATGCTAGAGAAGTGGCCCAATACCTACACCTACACCAAGCACCTAGCCGAAAACGTCGTGGGCCGAAGTCAGTTACCGACCGCAATAGTGCGCCCTTCTCTAAGTAAATCGCCCCCTTTCCGACTGTCAATAGCTACTATTGAAAAACTTTAGTTATGCCACCCTACTTGGAACCAGAGTCCGATTGGTCGAGTACATTGGACTGGACCACCAAGCTCTTGGCTTCACTCAACCTGGGAATTATACATAGCGTCCACTGTAATTCCAAGGACGTTGTCGACGTAGTGCCGGTCGACTTTGTGGTTAACTGTACGCTCGCAGCCGGCTGGATGGTCGGAACCGAGTACGCTAACAGTGATCGTAGGGAAGAGGTGGAAGTGTTTAACTGTGTCAGCGGCCATCAGAACCCTCTCACTTGGGGTGAGTATCAATAGCAAAATCGAGGAGTACTTTACACACGTGTACACTCTAAGCTCGTCAGGAGGAACTTATGCGAGGCTACGACCGCACCATGCCCTCGATCAAAAAGGTCCTACACAGGTCTACGTTCCACAGCACCAACGGCACTCTAAACAGCCTAGTTGATTTGGCGTTTTTACCAGCCCTTTACTTATTTAACACCAAATTGCAACTGGTTGGGAAATCTACCACGTGACTACAACTGCACATCTTAATCATCCTGCTAACTTTTGACGTTTTAGGAGCGTCCAGTTGCATCAAGCCGCAAGAATGTTTATGAAGACAGCCGCGTTTTGCACGGGTAGAGAGTGGAAGTTTAGGGATTTTAACACGCAAAGACTTTGGGATCGATTAGAAGAGGACGATAGGCGAATTTTCAATTTCGATATTAAATCAATCGATTGGGATCACTTTTACGAGAAGTTGACGTATGGTTTACGTCGGTACACGTTGCAAGACGATTTCGAGACAATGGGCAAAGCGAAATTAAAGATGGCAGCTTTGAACGTACTTCACTACGCTTATTTCGGATGTTATTTGTTGCTATTCTTATTTTTCATCAATGTACTGTACTCTAAGAGTACCGTACGTTATATGGACGTACATCTGTAGCGAACATTATGCACATACTTGCAAAGCACGAATTAAACAAATCAATACAAAGTGTCCCGTAAACACGTTAAATGCACACACAACGTACCATGTATGATTTTGGATGTTTCTAATCAAATCGACCCAGACGACAAAAGTACGTTGTACGGCCATAGAACGTACTTTTTGTACACAGTACGTAGATAATACGTACAGTTATGTACCGCCTACGTACATAGTACGTTACTTTAGCACTGCATTGTATCGAAAATGTAATACGTACAGTGTACGTACAAAATATATGTGCAGGGTAAATATGACATCTAAAAGTAGTCAGGTAAGGTCGAACCTGGTTCTAAAACAAGTGCAAGGAAGTTATCTAGCTCTTCTCCTGACGAGTAAAGCCGTAAGAACGGCACCGTAAAATCTTACGTTAACGAAAATAATACGATTTATAGTTACCGTAGTGGCAAGTGATGAGCTTGCGCATTAGCGCGTAACGAATTCTGTCATTGTATGTCATCTGTCAGTAAGAGTAACGCGCATTTCAAAATAATAATAACCAACAAAGTGTCAATAATTATTGTAAATAAACGAAACGAACGTCAGGATAAACTCAACTGTTTAAATTATCCGAGTACGGCCGAAGACAAACGCGTTAGCACGATTTACCGTAAGAAATAAGATTTGTGCATTTCCTACGTACCGTAACCGTTCTAACGCAACGTTAACGCGAATTATAAATGTTCACGCGCAACAAGTAGGGTTTAATTCCAAACGTTACGGTACGGCGTTGCGGGTACGGAACTATAAATTCAGCTTTAGTTCAAAGGTTGCCCATCGTTCAAAGTCCACAGGTAGGTCGCCGTTCAAGACACCATTTTTAAGGTGCTATATTTTATTTTCGCGGTCGATTACTCATTTCTTGCGATGTTATAGGGTAATATGGTGTGGTGATGTAGTGATTTTGGAAATTAAGTTCGTGTAAAGTTCGAAGGTTGGTCGCATTTCAAATTCCAAAGTTTTCTCGCCGTTTAAAGTTCAAAGGTTGGTCGACGTTCAAAGTCCAAAGGTTAGTGTAAAGTTCAAAGGTTGCTCGCAATTCAAATTCCAAACGTTGGTCATCGTTCAAAGTCCAAAGTTTTCTCTAGCCTACAATCGGTTAAGGTTGTGCGCGTTAAGAGAGCATGCGTACTAAAACTAGTACTGCACATTGCCTACGCCCGAGTGTCACTGCAAACATGTTTGTATAAGGTTCCTACACTGTACGTATATGGTAACTTCCTAATAAATGCGTTATTGTCCGAACATAGCACGTACAGGCTTTGTACATAGACAAAGTTACGTAAAATGTACGAAAACTGTACTTAAGGTCTTAAGGTCTCTAAGGTCTCTATGGTCTCTATGGTTTCTAAGGTCTTAAAGTCGCTAATGTCTCTGAAGTTTTTCAAGTCTCTGATGTTTCTGAAGTGTCTGAAGTCAAGTCTCTGAAGTCAAGTCTCTGGTGTCAAGTCTCTAAAGTCAAGTCTCTGAACTCTCTAACGTCTGTGAAGTCAAGTCTCTGAAGTCAAGTCTCTGAAGTCAAGTCTCTGAAGTCAAGTCTCTGAAGTCAAGTCTCTGAAGTCAAGTCTCTGAAGTCAAGTCTCTGAAGGCAAGTCTCTGAAGTCAAGTCTCTGAAGTCAAGTCTCTGAAGTCAAGTCTCTGAAGTCAAGTCTCTGAAGTCAAGTCTCTGAAGTCAAGTCTCTGAAGTCAAGTCTCTGAAGTCAAGTCTCTGAAGTCAAGTCTCTGAAGTCAAGTCTCTGAAGTCAAGTCTCTGAAGTCAAGTCTCTGAAGTCAAGTCTCTGAAGTCAAGTCTCTGGTGTCAAGTCTCCGAAGTCAAGTCTCTTGTGTCAAGTCTCTGAAGTCAAGTCTCTGAAGTCAAGTCTCTGAAGTCAAGTCTCTGAAGTCAAGTCTCTGAAGTCAAGTCTCTGAAGTCAAGTCTCTGAAGTCAAGTCTCTGAAGTCAAGTCTCTGAAGTCAAGTCTCTGAAGTCAAGTCTCTGAAGGCAAGTCTCTGAAGTCAAGTCTCTGAAGTCAAGTCTCTGAAGTCAAGTCTCTGAAGTCAAGTCTCTGAAGTCAAGTCTCTGAAGTCAAGTCTCTGAAGTCAAGTCTCTGAAGTCAAGCCTCTGAAGTCAAGTCTATGAAGTCAAGTCTCTGAAGTCAAGTATCTGAAGTCAAGTATCTGAAGTCAAGTCTCTGAAAGTCAAGTCTCTGAAGTCAAGTCTCTGAAGTCAAGTCTCTGGTGTCAAGTCTCTGGTGTCAAGTCTCTGGTGTCAAGTCTCTGAAGTCAAGTCTCTGAAGTCAAGTCTATGAAGTCAAGTCTCTGAACTCTCTAACATCTGTAAGGTCTCTATGGTCACAAAGGTCTCTATGGTCTCTATGTTCTCTATGGTCTCTAAGGTCTCTATTGTCTCTATGGCCTCTATGGTTTCTATGGTCTCTATGATCCCTATAGTCTCTATGGTCTCTAAGATCTCTATGGTCTCTAAGGTCTTAAAGTCTTCAAAGTCTCTAAAGTCTCCAAATTCTCCAAAGTCTCTAAAGTCTCTAAAGTCGCTAAAGTCTCTGAAGCTTCTGAAATCTCTGAAGTCAAGTCTCTGAAGTCAAGTCTCTGAAGTCAAGTCTCTGAAGTCAAGTCTCTGAAGTCAAGTCTCTGAAGTCAAGTCTCTGAAGTCAAGTCTCTGAAGTCAAGTCTCTGAAGTCAAGTCTCTGAAGGCAAGTCTCTGAAGTCAAGTCTCTGAAGTCAAGTCTCTGAAGTCAAGTCTCTGAAGTCAAGTCTCTGAAGTCAAGTCTCTGAAGTCAAGTCTCTGAAGTCAAGTCTCTGAAGTCAAGTCTCTGAAGTCAAGTCTCTGGTGTCAAGTCTCTGGTGTCAAGTCTCTGGTGTCAAGTCTCTGGTGTCAAGTCTCTTGTGTCAAGTCTCTGAAGTCAAGTCTCTGAAGTCAAGTCTCTGAAGTCAAGTCTCTGAAGCCAAGTCTCTGAAGTCAAGTCTCTGAAGTCAAGTCTCTGGTGTCAAGTCTCTGGTGTCAAGTCTCTGGTGTCAAGTCTCTGAAGTCAAGTCTCTGGTGTCAAGTCTCCGAAGTCAAGTCTCCGAAGTCAAGTCTCTGAACTCTCTAACGTCTCTAAGGTCTATGTCTCTAAGGTCTCTATGGTTTCTAAGGTCTCTATAGTCTCGATAGTCTCGATGGTCACTATGGTCTCTATCATCTCTATGGTCTCTCGGGTCTTTTGGGTCTCTAAAGTCTCTATTCTCCAAAATCTCCAAAGTCTCCAAAATCTCCATAGTCTCCAATGCCTCCAAAGTTTCCAAAGTCTCTCCAAAATCTCCAAAGCCTCCGAAGTCTCTAAAGTCTCCGAAGTCTCCGAAGTGTCTAAAGTGTCTAAAGTGTCTAAAGTGTCTAAAGTGTCTAAAGTGTGTAAAGTGTGTAAAGTGTCTAAAGTGTCTAAAGTGTCTAAAGTGTCTAAAGTGTCTAAAGTGTCTAAAGTGTCTAAAGTGTCTAAAGTGTCTAAAGTGTCTAAAGTGTCTAAGTGTCTAAAGTGTCTAAAGTGTCTAAAGTGTCTAAAGTGTCTAAAGTGTCTAAAGTGTCTAAAGTGTCTAAAGTGTCTAAAGTGTCTAAAGTGTCTAAAGTGTCTAAAGTGACTAAAGTGTCTAAAGTGTCTAAAGTGTCTAAAGTGTCTAAAGTGTCTAAAGTGTCTAAAGTGTCTAAAGTGTCTAAAGTGTCTAAAGTGTCTAAAGTGTCTAAAGTGTCTAATGTGTCTAAAGTGTCTAAAGTGTCTAAAGTGTCTAAAGTGTCTAAAGTGTCTAAAGTGTCTAAAGTGTCTAAAGTGTCTAAAGTGTCTAAAGTGTCTAAGTGTCTAAAGTGTCTAAAGTGTCTAAAGTGTCTAAAGTGTCTCTAAAGCGAATCTTAAAGCGCCTAAGCGGCTAAAGCGTCTAAAGCGTCTAAAGCGTCTAAAGCGATCTAAGGCGTCTAAGTCGTTCTAAAGCGTTCTAACGCAGTGTCCTACGTGAGCGGCAACGCGCGGCCGACGCGGCCGGCGTGGTCCTCGCGGCTATATCAAACCATGATAGTTTATTGGTATGTCCTACCTAGCAACCACCGCGCGGCACGCGCTGCTCAAAGTTTTTGAGGCGGCACAGCAGGTCAAAATATTTGATATTTCCGCGTCTGCCGCTTCAGTCTACGCCGGTCAGTTCTTGGGTATACATCATGTCTGACACATTTTACGAACTTTTAATTAGTAATGTCAAAAATACTCGTGTTCTTTGGGACATGAAACACAAGCATGATCACAATAGATTGCTGGTGCGTATATTTTTGTCAACATGCGCTTGCACCGCTTTACGTTCGGTGCTTGCACGTAGGACGCTCTGGTCGCGTTTGCCGTTTACGCCGCGACTGCAGCGTCGACCGCACCGGCCGCGTCTGCCGCGCGTTGCCGCTCACGTTGGACACTGCGTAAAGCGTCTAAAGTGTCTAGAGTCTCTAAAATCTCTAAAGTCTCTAAAGTCTCTAATGTCTCTCCGCCATGTAGAAGTTCGAGACGCTTGCTTGGAGGGGCATAACTGACTTGCCCAAATTAAAGTGCCGGTTTCGCCTTTTATTGTGTCGGTGCTTTGTCGGCGATGGCCCTTCCAGTGGGGGTTGATGGCGAGGATGTTGGTGGGACAGCTCCCTCTTTCCATCCAGAGCCTTTTGTCGGGGTTGGTGGTCTAGACGCCGAAGGCTGGGTGGTGAGTTGGCGGTGACCTTGGAAAGTAGGTCGAGATGAATTTTAAGGGCGACCTGCCACATGGTGATGACCTTGGAAAGTAGGTAAAGGTGAAGCTCAAACATTCGCCTCCGCTCTTCTCAAGTTCTCTGGCAGTGACCTAGAAAAGTGTGCCATCAAAGGTCAATGATTCCATGTTTGTCATCACATTTCATTTTCAAGGTCACTGAACGCGAATCGAACCCAAACGTAAACACGGGCCCAAACGTGAAGGTTCAATTGGTGTTAACCTGTGGATAAGATACGCGTTTGGGGTCGATTTGTGTTCAATGACCTTGAAACTGAAATGTGTTGACAAAAATGGGGTTATTTGACCTTGGATAACTTTCAAATTGAATTTTAAGACCACAAAAATGGGGTCATTGACGTTTGGGGGCGAGAAATCGATTTTTCAGATTTATCTTGCCCAACTTTCCAAGGTCAGACACTACTACAGATCGGGGGGCGAATTTCCTTTTAACTGCACCGGCACGTAGCAGGTGACCTTGGTCTACTTTCCAAAGTGACAAACAGGTCTCGAGCTTGAACGGTCTGCGTACGCTCCTGTTATTCTAATGTGACTCGTTGAATTCGTTGCCTCTTCCATTCTACTAGGAGTCAGTTGGCGAAGTCATCTTTTCCCGGGATCCCTGTTTCTTGCCGTGACTGATGCATCTGCGGCGCTTTGGGTGCGGATGGGGCCACAGATGGCGTAACGGTGGTACCGGTGCTCACCGGTAGGACGCTGGCCTAGCTGGCCAATGACTCTGGGCATCGATCGGTCAGGTGCGTGCAGAGGCTATGACAGTCTTATCTCCTCTCCACGCGAGACAGACTGACGCCAATTACTTCCTTAACATATTAACAGGTCACCAAGTAGGTACACGGAAACAGTGACACATAAAAATTGGCAACGCAAATCAAATTCAGAACCACAGAATTTTTATTAGCAGATCTCAACCCCTGGAATGGGTAAGTTGTCCCTCGTTCGGGGCCTCCGTGTTCGTTCATTACTATTTTTTATTTACTTAAAATAGACTTGCATACATAAAACGATTTGTACAGAATAAACACGAACAACGACAAATAAATTACAAGCAGTAAATAATGAAATACTTTCAGTAGGTGGGATTTCCGTTTGGCTTTGCTTAAGCTCGATAGATCGTCTTGCAGCACGTTGATTCGTGCACCGGCGACGGCTTGCACTGAGAATACAATCCAATCGATGGATTTTACGTCGAAATTGAATAAACAGCGATCATCTTCGTCCAAAGAGTTCCAAAGTGCTCGCGTGTTATCATCTTTGAAATTCCACTGGCGACAAGTTACAAATTCGACAACCTTGCTAAACTCCTTCATCTTCCTGTACATTATTAAGATTCTGAAAGGGTGGTTCAAATGCGATGTTACACGACGATAAACCCCACTCACATGTGTGTTTCCCCGCGAAGTAAGCTGATGGAGTTGATCACGTGGATAAGGGGGAGGTAAACCAAGTCGACCAACTGCAGTACAAACCTGTTGGTGGTGTACACCATGAAACTGTGGAAAATCTTTTTGCTCGAAGGCAGAACCCATTCGCTCTTCTGTCGGTGCTCGTCCTGGAGACCTGGAAAAGTCCGTGGTTATTTCACCAACCGATGGCCGAAACGAAACACTTGCCCCAAGTGATCGGATTTTGTTGGCCGCTGACGCAATTATATATCGGTATCGGTCCCTGAGCTCCCCTAGAAAAATCGGTTTAACCTTCCAGTCGCCTCACCACCACAAGTCTCTAAAGTCTCTAAAGTCTCTAAAGTCTCTAAAGTCTCTAAAGTCTCTAAAGTCTCTAAAGTCTCTAAAGTCTCTAAAGTCTCTAAAGTCTCTAAAGTCTCTAAAGTCTCTAAAGTCTTGAAGTCTCTGAGGTCTCTAAGGTCTCTAAAGTTTCTGAAGTTACCTGATCCCTACGGACCACCCGATGACAATCGCGTGGTTTACGACCAAGTCGACCGGAATGAACTCCACGACATGCTTCGGGTCGCAGCGCAGACTGTGCGAAAGTCCCATATTGATCGCGCCCATCAGCAGAGAGTTGGGATCGAAGGTCGAAGCCCAGCACGTAACCGGAACGTCGTACGGTGACATCACTGGAACTCTAAATTGAGATCGTCGAGTAAGTCAATGATTTTACCTATCGATGGACGAACTACTGCTATCGGTAGGCAGTCCGCTTTCCTCTTTATCAAGTCTTCGGCAATGTGCTTGGTGAAAACGTACGAATTGGGCCACTTATCTAAAATTCTAAGGGGACAATTCAAGCCAATCCGCTATTGCGGACACTCACGCCTCGGACAGATCGTTCATAGTTTCGCGATCGAGCGAGCGAGCCATCTCCAGCAACCGCTCCCCGTCTTCGTCGGTTGGGTAGAAGGTCTCTTCGGTTACTTCGCGAAGACACTGCGAGAATGCGGTTGACACGTGGACAAAACTCTGAAACACTTTGGATTGTTACATCGAGAAATAATCGCGGTCCCTATTACATTACCCCCTACTTGCCATTGCACAGAATTTTAACTGGTTGAATGGTAAGGAAGGGTTCCGGGTTTCGATCTACCTGAAGATGTTTCATTGTTTTAGCCAACTCGACGACGCTGTCGGTGCCTCCGACGTTAATCAAAATGGCGCGTCTCAGCTCTTCGGTGAACTTCACCGTGGCGCCGACGTGAAAAACGCAATTCACCTCCTCGACGATCGTCGCCCAATCCCGATCCCCCAAACCGAGCTTGGGCAGTTCCAGGTCGCCGGTCACGACGTCCAACTTCTCCAACACGCGCGGATTTTCTTGCTTCAATCTTTTGTGAACCTGCAAGGCGCGCCGATGAAGAAGACCGGTACCAAGTGCGACAGCTTACCGAATTGTTCAGGAAACCCGTTAAACGTTCCTCGGGAGTTTTCCCTTTCTTTGCGCGGATCAGCAGATAAATCTTCTTGATGTCCGCGCACGATCTTAACAGCTTCTCGATGAGGTAGTTACCCAGGAAGCCGGTGCCGCCCGTCACCAGGACCGTTTTCCCCGCGTAGAACCGTTGCACTTGCGTTGTCCGCATCTTACAGTCGAATGTTTTACACCTGCGAATAATTATTTCGTAGTGTTCAACGAGGTTTTTCGGGGGATTGTAAAACGGAAGAGGAAGGCCTCGTGTTAGCTCATCTCTTGGCTGTGAATTTCGATTGTCATAAGCAGAGTTGGACTGGGTCAAGCATAGAGTGACCCAGTGACCCGGTGACCCAGTTAGTTTACTGACCCAGTGACCCGGTGACCCAGTGACCCGGTGACCCAGTTGACCCGGTGACCCAGCTTGACCCGGTGACCCAGCTTGACCCAGTTTGACCCAGTGACCCAGCTTGACCCGGTGACCCAGCTTGACCCGGTGACCCAGTTTGACCCGGTGACCCAGCTTGACCCGGTGACCCAGCTTGACCCGGTGACCCAGCTTGACCCAGTGACCCATCTTGACCCAGCTTTACTCAGTGACCCGTCTTGACCCGGTGGCCCAGTAATTAAATTATTGTTAGGTATCATCCAAATATTTTAACGTAGCGTCAATTTAAGACTAATTTATTGTTGAAAAGCAACCAATTATGTAACATCACACGATTCCAGGTTCTGTTTCAGGGACTGCCTCATTCACATTTACTAATTTGTGCTCTCTTTCAGCGGGTATTTAAGAAAACAAGAACTCTACACCTGATTCATAAGGTGCAAGTCAAAGTGGGGAAACTGGACAATATGATTTGTAAAACTACTGCCAAAGACATAAAAAAAACAAGTATAAATTGTGCACACGGGAGTCGCACGGGAAAGTTATACTTTGTACAATTATTTCAATTTAATTATTTATTTCGGTGAGACCTTTCATTAGAACACCATGAAGGCTAGAATATGTGTTTAACCCCCCCCCCCCCAAGTACGTGCATGTGAACAAGTAAAAAATTTGAGATTGCGCATGCGCAAAACACATTTTTTGATTCGGCTTTAGTTTTACTTTTGTTAGAGGCGCGTGGATTCGAAATTTCATTTAAATATCTGAACAAATAAAGAATTTGATATTGCGCATGCGCAAAACGCATTTTTTGATTCGGCTTTTCTTTTACTTTTATTAGAGGCGCGTGGATTCGAAAATTTAATTTAAATCTCTGAACAAATAAAGAATTTGATATTGCGCATGCGCAAAAACACATCTTTTGAATAGGCTTTGGTTTTACATTTATTAGAGGTGCGTGCATGTGAAATTTCATTTAAATATCTCAACAAATAGACAATTTGATATTGCGCATGCGCAGAAACACATCTTTTGATTAGGTTTTAGTTTTACATTTATTAGAGGTGCGTGCATGTGAAATTTCGTTTAAATATCTGAACAAATAAAGAATTTGATATTGCGCATGCGCAAAAACACATCTTATGATTAGGCTTTAGTTTTACATTTATTAGAGGTGCGTGCATGTGACATTTCATTTAAATATCTTAACAAATTAAAAAATTTGTCATCGCGCATGCGCGAAACATTTTTTTGATTCGGCATTAATTTTACTTTTATTAGAGGTGCGCGCATGTGAAATTTCATTTAAATATCTGAACAAATAAAAAATGTCATATCGCGGATGCTCAAAACACATTTTTTGATTCGTCTTTAGTTTTAATTTTATTGGAGGTGCGTACATGTGCAATTTCATTTAAATACCTTAAGAAATTTGTCATTACGCAGATACAAAGCTGGGTTGCGCGTGCGCATTTATTTTTAAAAATTCATCTGCATAGTTGCCTGAGGTTTGAGCAGTTTTTGGACTGTAACTTTCTGGCCCGTTAGTCCTTTCTTATATCCTGAAGACCATGTGTATCAAATTTCAAAGCGATCGGACGCTTCTACACAAAGTTCGTGCACACGGACAGACGGACAGAAAAACGGACAGACAGACAGCAATCCAATGTTATAAACGATCTGGAGGATCATTAATAACACGGGAATTAAGGATTGTGTCGTACCTTGCGAGTGAAGACGTGAGGAAGGTGATTTAAGGGCAAGGGACTACCAGGAGTAGCACCGATGCTGAAGAAAAACAGGGAAAGGCGGAAGAGGGAGTGTGACGCCGATGCAAAAGGGAGGTCAGCAGGGAGGTGATACAGGTCCCGATTGATGAAGCCCGCTCTGCGGACGACATAATGAGCGTTGCGATCAAATGAGGTGGGCGAGCCAGAGTAGAAGGAGTGGAGCCACAGGAGAGAACCAAGAAGGAGCTGGCAATACGGCACCAACGGGAGGAATGCTGCCATTCAAGAAGATCGAGATCGTTATTAGAGAATGAGAGGAGGAAAATGAAGAGGCAGATGAGAATGGTCTTCGCGGCGCAGTAACTGGAGGGGTCACCGGCGAGGGGGTATCATCGCAGGCAGTCAAAGTCATCAAGAAAACCAAAGACGGACATCTTAGGGTCACACTGAACCGACGTGATCGAGACAAGAGACATGAGGAGTAGGCCAAACTGTCCGTTAGGGGAGACGGCGGTGCAGAGACATAGACCAGCTCATGCAGGACGAAGACGCGGAGGAGGCGTTGCTTAAACTTCAGGAGGGAGCCGGCTGCCGAAGGACCAGAACAGCCACGATTTATACGGTGAAAACGACAGCGGTGAAACTAGACACGTTCCATCGTGTTTGGGTGGGTGTATCCCCCTGTAGACTGAACAAGAGAGTGGTAATAACAAAATACGCGGGATACAGGAGGAGGACCATAAGTGCAGAGAAGGAAGAAGCGCTGTTCCAATTGCGAGGAAGTGGGGCACCTCAGGGACAAGTGCCAAAATGACGAAAAAATGTTGCATGTGCGGCACAGAGGGCCACTCTCCTTGGACGATGTCCTGCCCTATGTTCAAGATGTCATAAAACAGGCGGAGCAGGATAGGAGAACCACCATGTTGGTCAACAAGTAGGAGGAGGCGCCCGAACGGCAGATTACTCTAGTCAGTCAGGTGTTTGAAAGTGTACTAGCAGAGTTAGACTGGGTCAACTGGGTCACTGGGTCAGATCATACCCTCTTCAGTTGCTCAGATTGACGCAGTGACCCACTTTCACCCAGTGACCCAATATCACCCAGTGACCCAATTTGACCCATCGACCCAGTTTGACCCAGTAGGCAGTAACCTAATCCAATAACCCAGTTTGAGTCAAACTTAAAGTGGATCACCGGATCAAGCTCTTCAGTTGCTCAGATTGACGCAGTGACCCACTTTCACCCAGTGACCCAATATCACCCAGTGACCCAATTTGACCCATCGACCCAGTTTGACCCAGTAGGCAGTAACCTAATCCAATAACCCAGTTTGAGTCAAACTTAAAGTGGATCACCGGATCAAGCTGGGTCATCGAGTCGCTGGGTAAGTAAACCTACCGGGTCACTGGACCACGTTATGCTCCACCCAAATATGGTATGTGGGGGGGGGGGGGGGGAGTACATTTTTTTAGTTCATAAAAAGTGCGCTAAAATGAATGAGGGAAATATGACAAAACAGAAAATAGGAATGGGTAAAGGGACGGGAAGGTGTCAAAGAGGAACCGGAGAGGTGGCGACTAAGCGATGTTAAAGAGGCGTGAACTGGACATGCAAAGAGATGTGATGCTAGGGGTACGAACAATACGAAACGCCAAGGGAAACGCTAAGAAATGTGAGTGAGTAAGGGTGGTTTAAACTAGGAATGACGGAAGAGAAGGAAGGTGTAAAAGAATCCGGAAGAGGGGTTGAAAGACTTACAAACAGCTTACAATAGAGAAGTGAAGGATACATAAGGAGGGAGGTTTGGGGCATGCGTCAGTTGGTGAAAAAAAATCGGGACAAATGATTACTGCAAAAAAGACGTGAATAAGTGTGTCGAAGAAGTGAGGGGGATTTCAAACAAGGATGACTACGAAAGGAGTGAGGCGTAAAGAATAGTATAATAGGTGGTCGCTTTGCCGTTTTAAAAATTTCGTATTGATTTTGTGTTTTGTTAAGCATAGGGAATTTTCCACACGTACCGCTTTATAGCAAACTTGAACGAAAGTAAGTGTGGTGATAATTAAAAAAAACGTATTGGGGAAAGCCGTAATTCAGATTTCTATTGGTTGTTAGAGCACGCCAATCGAGGTCATTGCGTTCAGAAAAGAATAAGGCCCTTTTCCCTTTACCTATCGTACCTTTAAATCTCCCATGAGAGAGGTGCTAAAAAATGTTTAAGATCAAATGAGGGCAAGTGTATTTATGAGCTTTGAAAGCCGCTTTGAGCAATTGAATGCCTACTTGTAATATCCTAATCTTTTAAAGAGAATCTTTAAAGACCTTCAAGCGTTTTCCATGTATTTTCAAGAGCCCTAAGAAAATTTACGCTTATACCGCTTCATAGCGAACATAAAAAAGTATATCTGGCGATAGGTAACAAGTGATAACAAGAAACGTAATGGGGAAAGAGTTTCGTTTCGTTGTGTTTAAGGTCGAGCACGTGACGAAAATGCAGGTTTACTATTCCTTTAAAAAGGTACGCTAGTCGAGGTTGTTGCGTTCAGAAAATGGGTCCCGTTTCGGTACTTCTAACGGGCGAGATTCGAATAGCGAGAGAAGTGGAGGAGCGATCGTTCTAAGCTGATTTTCGCGAGCAAGCACGTATTTGGGTATATTCTTGGTTTATTTTAAGTAAAAATGTTTAATTTCAAGAACTACCACGTACAAATACCAGTGTGCGAAAAAAATTGATACGCGGACGACATTTTTAGCAGCGTTGCGAGAAATATCTTCATGTGTATGTGTGAAGATTTGCGGTTTGTAACTCGAGAACCGGAACATGAGTGAAATCAATCCGGATGGTAAAGAATTAGCAGTTAAACTTTGGGTAAAAACATATTATATACCGGGTACTCCTAAATCTCGTGACGAAGAAAAACTTTCGATTCGCAGAAATGCCTTTGATTTCCGAGTGGTAAAATATAGGCGAAAGGAACATTTTCGAGTCGAAGTCCCGCTTTTCCAATAAAAGAGAACGAGAAGTTTTTTTCGGATCGCTAACAGTAACGGCTGGTTAAATGGCGCGAAGAATTGTAG